GGGACAAGGCTGATGGGAAATGCCAAATGCATGAGGTAGAGCGGGCTGATTACAGCTTAAACAATGGTGCTTTCTATTGCTTTGTGTTATTCAAATAATAACCCTCCAGCCATAAGAAGCAAAGATGCGTAAGGTATTTATGAACTAAGTGTTGCAAGATCACACACTCCCTGCACTGAAGCGGAGCCAGAGCTTCATCCCGTTGTATCTCTGATACATAAAAGTGGGGATTCCCCAAAAAACAAAAAGCCTACTAGTGGAGATGGAAGTCTGAACTCATTCTGTACCCATTAGGTTTCCCTGGAAACACCAATCAAAGCATAGGGTAAATCATATAGGGCTTCTTTCCCAATGCCGTGCTAAATAATGCTGCCCATAGAAAAGGCTGCACACAGTACACTGTAGAGCCTTCAGTCCTACGCAGAGTTGGTTTAAGACAACAAATGCATCTTCAAATGGCTAATGAAGAGAAGAGATTGATGGACCTTGCTGCAGAACTGTCTAGTCCTGGGGGAGACCCCCCTATTTCCCTAAATATCTCGGGAAATGGAGCCACTCGTCTGTTTTGGTGAAGAACATCGATGCTCCTGCATGAACCACGTAAGAACTGGAAACTTGCTGCTCAGTAGAGAGTCCTGTTCCTAATGTTCACACTTTTCCCAGGACACAAAAATCCCCTGCATCCTCAGAGGCAAAGCACAGGGGCTTCCTGGATCCCGCACATGTGCTAGAACACAGCTGCTCTCATAGGCGATTGGTGTGGGGGTGCACAGGGGTGCACGTGCCCCCCCGATGGGGCCAGTACCCCTCCTGACGGCCGACACTGATACTGTCGGTAGGGCAGGTGCCCCCCCAGATTCAGGAGGCACCGGTCACTCATGGGTACTCTGTTCACCCTGGCGCACACATGCTCCAATGCTCAAGCGTTGCCGAAAGGGTGTGATTTTAACCAGGCTTTGGCATGCCCAACTGGCCAAGTTGAAAGAGCAGTGAAATCAAGGCCACTCCAGCAAACAGCTTGATTGCAACTGCAGCCTTTTCTGAAGGCTTTACCTACATGGCTAGTCTCAGTTAAGATCTGTATTGCTTTGCCTGCCTGCTGACATACCCAAGGGAACAGCACTCCTGTTCCTTCACCGTGAACCCTACCCAAAGAGTTGCGGGCTCTTATACTTGAGCAAGCAACAACTTTCCAGTATCCACCTACACACCATGCTACTTCATGCCTGAGCCGGTAGAAAAGTGGCTGGAAAGTAGCTGATAGGTTAGCATTCTGGATTGTGACATGGACACACCACAGATGAGCAGGAAATACATCAGCCTTTCACTTCTTGGGGCCATGATTTGCTTTTGCTTAGAGTGGTGTCAATCAAAACTAATACCAAAGTATCAAGAGGAATTCAAGCAATGCAATACAGGATTAGGCCAGCATTAAGGTGTGATCAGAAACGTTCAAGGATCACTTGAAGAGAACAAAGCACTGTAGCCCTTTGATTGCACCCTTGTCTGGGGCTAGGATGGGGATATGGTAGAAAAATCAGCATTGCTGACTTGAGCTCAGCTGAGGGCTCGGCTCCTCTTTGCACAGCTGGAATGGTCGAAAGGGGCTGAGGCAGGGAGCACAGGACTTGTGACAACAAATAGCCATCTGCCGCGGGCAGGTAGCTTTGCTCTCATGGCCAAAGCACATAGTGTACGCAGTAAATTTCTCCAGCCCGTTCCTAAGAAACATAACATTTCATCACTGCTTCAGGGTGGGAGCCGTATTGTCATGATCAGTCACCCTGAACCTGTAGCTACAGCTCCTTGTACATCATTCGGCCCTTTGTAATGAGCTCTTTGTGAGAATTCCTGCCCAGTGAATGACGACTCTGCCTCCCCACCCCACTGTCCCTGCCACTTGGAAAGTTTGATTCATTTCTTTTTATAGTGAATTCTGCCAGGGCTGGCTTGTTCCTTGCCTGGAAACAACATCACATTAATTTAGAAAAAAATAGTCTGAGGAGGAAAACAAACGAATCAACTTTAGGTGATGTAATGCTGCTTACAATACTGGAGTCCAATTTTCAATGGATCCTAAGGAAACAGAGAGCAAATTTAGGTTCCTGGGAAAATCCCAGGCTGGGCATGACTAGTTTGTAGGTACAGAAGGAGCTGAAGGCAGGAGCTCCTTCTGGCTTTTTTGTGTTTGTCTGATCAGGAGGGATGTTGGATTCTCACCCCCTGTGGAGCTCCGGGAGTGATTTCCAGCTGTGCAAGGTGAACGGCAGCATCCTATTTCTGCTGTGGGTTTGCTACCCTCTTTGCTGCATCCAGGGCATGGAGCAGGGGAACATCCAGAGCTAAAAGAAGCTGTTCCTTTTTGACTTAATGGGGTGCGGCGGCTACACGTGCATAGCTACTGCGCAGTAACCAAAAATGACTGCACAATACAGGTGTGTGTCTACACGCGTGCACCTGTACTGCGCAGTAACTATAGCGATTTATGCTGACTTGGGTATAACACATGATGCAGGTAGCAAATTTACACTTGAGTAGTTACTGCACAGTAAGGCGCATGTAGACACCTGATTGCTCAGTAACCCTGTGTGTGTAGACTGATTTGGGACTAACTTTAATCCCAAGTCAGTCCACACTGCGCTGTAAAGCCTGCATGTGTAGACACCGGCATAAAAACTGCACCTATGTGCATTTACTGCATTACGCAGTAAATGCACATGTAGACATACCCACAGCTTACCTGTTGAGGTTGCAAGAGTTATCTTCTCTGTAAGTCAAGCACGAGGAGGGGGATCTATAACACATACTCTCACCTGTGGGCTACGTTGGCACAGGTGCAACGGATGATACCATACCCACGTCACTTAAGAGACAGGCCCCAAAGACCAATTTGCAGTCAAAACTCTTGTGGGGGCTTGATCTTTTTATTGCAGCAGGCTTCCTTCTTGCCTTGTATCAGTGGAAGTGTGGTCAGCTCCCTGTGTGACAACACTTGGGAGTAGACACGGCAGGCTTGAGCCTTTGCTTTGCTTAAAAGTGCGGCCAGATAATGTAAGAGATGCAAAAAACTATTGCTATTTGGCAGATCATTTCACTTTAAAAGGAACATTTCACTCAAGGGTTTTGAAGGAAGCAGGTAGGAAAATACCAAACTAGTCCAGAGCACAATTCTTTGCCTCTACCCTGCGACTGAGTGGCAGCTCATAGTGTTCATAATCAGACAGGCTTGGTTACTATATGTTACGCCACGGTATTATTGCACTCTGCAGACACTGAGATGCAATCCAAACAGGAGGTTTCGCAGGGGGTATGCCTTTGTGCGGTCACTCTGCGTGTATAAACGGATTGGGGTATGAATCATTATGATCTACCTTAAATCCCACGGCCCCTCCATACCACAAGATGAAACTGGTCGTGGTTTGGTTAATCTCTTTCCCAACTTGCCCATTCACTCTCACAACAACTCTAAATGAACATAGGTGGCTTGAAGCAACTGCAGATTAAGGGGAAAAAAAGCCAAGAAGGATATTTTTTGCATTGTTTAGCTTGCTGGCAGCCTTTCTAGCTGGAAATCTAGGTTAAAAATTGACTGCAAACTGGGAAGACATCCAGAAGGCTGCACCAGAGGGATTGCAAACCAGGTGCCATTCTAACCCTCTTTGATTCCAAAGCATATCAGCCTTCTGATGTTACCCCTTATTCCCTTTCTCATCAAGAGGGGGAACATCCCACCAGCACCCCAGAAAGTCTAACGGTAAAGTCTTCAAGTTGTGGGGTTTTTTGGAGTCAAGAAAATCTAATTGCTCAACATTCACAGAGTCCCCTGGACTGGAGTCCCCAGCAGAGGTGCAAAACGTGCAATGAAGGTAACTGTGCAGAAAGGAGCTTGCAGGTTCCCCACAGCCAGCTGGACATATAAGCAGCACTTGTCCCCAGAATATCTTCTCCTCTTGTGTCCTTTGCAAGGAAATCAATGCTGAGAGACATTTTCCAAGCAAGTGAAGGGATTAGGTATGCCCACTTTGCATTGATTTTAATGGCAGCTGTGAAAATCTTGGTCTTAAATACACACAAAAGCAGTAGGTGTCATTTAGATGCATTTCAAAATGTTCTGCTCCGGTTTCTACATTTTTTACAAGCGCTAAGACTCAAGAAGGCACATCTTTTTTGGCTGGGGATATCCATCAGAGTTCAGACTGTTGAGTTTTGAACCTTTCTGGAGTTATGTTTCTTAGCTAGAACCTCAATGGGAAGAAAGCTTTTCAGTGGCGACTCATAGGAGGTGCATGGGGGTGCACGTGCACCCCCTGAGAGCACTGGTGCACCCCCTGTCAGGCCGCACTCCCCACTTAGGCAATGGGCAGGGGGTGGCAGGTGGGAACACTGGTGCCCCCGTTGTGAGTGAGAGCACTGAACAAAGCACTGTGGGCACTTCCACGAGCGCCGCAGCCACTTCCAGGAGTTGACTGGTCACTGGGGGGGGGCATGTGCCCCCCCTGACTAAGGTGGCACCAATCACCCATAAAGCTTTTTCTGGAAACCTAGATGACTTGTTCCTATGGCAGATGGAAGCATTGCATGAAATCAAACAATAAGCAAAGCCCAGAACACAGTGTTATCTTCTCTTCCTTTGCTGCAATGCATGCAGAAAAGACTCTTCTGCATGTAGCAGCTTTATGCATGATATGAAATGCTGGATTTCTGCAGGAAACTTGCTCTGTAGCTCTGCCTTGAGAGCAGAGGATTTGAAACAAAGCAAGGGGGTTGAGCAAGAAGTTGGGTGGGAAGGCACTTCAGCAGATTTACTCCTTTGTGTCAGAGAGGATGAGCGCACCGCTTGAACTCTTTCACACTGCCGGTCTGACGGCCTACACAAAAGCTGGCAGGCGACAGCTACTTCCAGTGGAGTGCTCCTTAGGACTCAGCTATATTCTTTCAAAGGGCGTGTGCTTGAGGTGAGTTCACTGCTCAGAATGCTGCAGGGCTTGCCAAGACCAATTAATCAGTGAGATGAACTACCACACTGAACCCACCCCAGTTCAGCAAGAGTATAAAAGGCTCAAGCTCAACCCTTGGAAAGCAGAGGTTCATCTTTCTCCCCTGCTTCCTGTTCTGTGTTCCTCACCGGCATCCTCCGTACCTCCTATAACACCCTTCTTCCAGACCAGCTACCATGTCTCGTCAATCCTTTGTACAGATCCAGAGTGGGAGAAAGGGCTTCAGCTCCAATTCTGCTGTCATACCTAGTGCCTGCCGCACCAGCTTCAGCTCACGCTCTGTCTCCCAATCGGGCGGTTGTGGTGCCAGTGGTGGCTTTAGAAGAGTTGGCGGTGGTGGCGGCGGTGCTGGCTTCGGCAGCAGAAGCCTTTACAATCTAGGTGGATGTAAGAGAATCTCCATTGCTGGAAGCGGTGGTGGCTTCTATGGAGCTCCAGGGCCCTATGGTTTTGGAGCTGGTGCCAGCAGCGGATTTTGTTACGGTGGTGGAGTAGGTGGTGGTTTTGGTGGTGGAGTAGGTGGAGGCTTAGGGTTAGGTGGACCTGGGTTCGGAGGTGGCATGGGTGGTCCTGGCTTCCCTGTCTTCCCACCTGGAGGCATCCATGAAGTGACTGTCAACAAGAACCTTCTTCAGCCGCTTCATCTGGACATCGACCCCAGCATCCAGAGGATCCGCACGGAGGAGAAGGAGCAGATCCAGACCCTCAACAACAAATTTGCCTCCTTCATTGACAAGGTGAGACAAAAGATTTCATAAATATCTTGCCCTGGTTCTACCTGGGGAAAATAGATAGTTTCAGGTTATTTCCAACCTTGTTTTTTCATCCACAAACTGAGCCACAACACCCAGGAATAAACTGGAACACGCCCCCAGTTTGAGGCAGTTATTTGGTTCATTGCAGCCATTGAAGTACCTGACAGGTGGCTGGGGTTACTGAGTACTATTTAAGTAATAAAATGGCTAGTGGATGCGGGGAATGAACCCATTAAATACTCAAATTTCTGTAGTAATTTTTAGAGAGGACATTGAAATGTTGGCCTTCTTAAGGCTTTAGCATTGGAATACTATACCCTGTTCATTGTTTGGTTGATTCTATGTGTCCGAACAAGACAATTTGGCAATCAGCACCACTCTGTCATTAGGAAAATATTACGTTGTCCTGAAAACATTTTATAAATCATGCAGTATTGGGTGATAATATCAGCTTTAGATTAACTTTTTTTTCCAGTTAAGGGTTTAATTCTTCCTGGGTTTGTACCTTGGGGTCATGCCTTATACCTGTACAAAGTAGTTGCAACATTTAACCGGTCGTGTTAGTCATTGTAAACTCTGTAAAGCTCTAAAGGGTGACATGGAGTAGAATGAAGAAATGAGTCTAATTAACTTGTAATATGGGGCAGGCCCATGTAGTCCAATTTGCTAGGTTCGTTTGTACCAACTGTGCATCTAGCTTTGAAATCTTTCTTGTGGTGTCCAGCCCTTCATCACTCGTTCCTGAGAACTGAGTACACTCAGGCAGTGCTCAGGACTTGACAGGACTGTACCTAAAAACCTATCGAGTTCACCAAATTACCATTTTTCTCAAGCCTGTTTTGGACACTTTTGGTTGCAGGTCCGATTCCTTGAGCAACAGAATAAGGTGCTGGAAACCAAATGGATGCTGCTGCAGGAACAGGGACAGAAAACAGTCAGGAACAACATTGAGCCCCTCTTTGAAACCTACATCAATAACCTCAGGATACAGCTCAACGGCCTGGTGGGGGACAGGGGAAGGCTGGAAGGAGAGCTGGACAACACACAAAACCTGCTTGAGGATTTCAAGAACAGGTAAGTGTAGTTAACTAGCTGGCTATTTACCTGGCTCGTTAGGTTCTTACATGTTCCAGATGAAATCACTAAAGTCTCTGGGGCTCAGAACCTAAAAATAACGTCTTTCCACAACCATGTGTGGATAAGAAAGGGACAAGACTTACACAGGTCTAATAGCAAGTCCACTGCGGGTGCATCTACATATGCCAATTTAAGGCGGCGCATTAGCCATTTTTAAGATACATCAAGGGCATGGGTCTACATGCGTACACCCTTGATGTGCCTTAAAAATGGTGATTTTACTCTATCCATGCCTGAATTTGCTACGTGCAGCAGCAGCTATCAAATTTATGCGTGAATAGTTAAAGCACCTTAGCGCGTGTGTTGCTCAGCCTGACAAGGGTGTTTGTGCCCAAAAGCTTGCTAAGATGAATTTTTCCAACTATTTGAGTTGGTTTGATAAAAGATACCGGATTTACACAAACAACCTTGTGTGCCTGTGTCCTTAGACCAACATGGCTACAACTTACCCCCCCTAGATACACTAAGGCTCATTAACGCTGTGTATGTCAATTGACTTGGGACTAACTTGAGTCCCAAGTCGGTCCACACTCTGCATTAATGCACCTTAGTGCATGCACATGTAGATATGTGCCTAAGTCGCCGTAATGTGCATTAGGTAAATGCGCATTAAGTTTAGGTGTGTGTAAAAGCGTTAGGTAGATGCGCATTAAGTTTAGGTGTGTGTAGACATTCCCTGAGGGACATAAATGCTAGAATACATGGATGATGCCACCTTCCTGCAGTTAAGAGGACAAATATGGCAAAATGATATCTGCATGCACGGATAAGCCAAAAGATACAGTTATAAAAATATTTTTATATGAAAATTTAGATTTTGAGCTTACAAATGCAAAACTGCTTGTTGTTTGAGTAAAAAGATACGTGTGCAGAAGAGTTGGGGGATCAGACGCTTACATTGCAGATGAGAGTCACTGAGAATGACTGGCTGACCAGAAGCGAGGTTGACTAGCAGGTTTTCTAAGGAACGTTGCTAACAACATGTTTGCATGTTTTAACGAGTACAGCAGACACATAGATCATTACCTGAGTTTCCCTGAAAGCCCAAATTCAGATCCATGTGGGGGCAGAGATGAGTGTTATACCTGAAACACATCTCAGGAAGTTCACAATCTGCAATCACCATAGCCAGTTACTTACCTAAACACATACCTCTTCTTCTTCCTCCTTCCTGCAGGTATGAAGAAGAAACCAACAGGCGCCATGATGCCGAGAATGATTTTGTGACACTCAAGAAGGTGAGTCTGACTTGTTAATTCTTGGTTATTGTTCACATGATGGCTACAAGGCCGATATCCTAGTGTTGAGCCATGAATAGATGGAGGGTAAGAAGTGTACTCAACTGTAAATATTTAAAGGACAGAGGACACATGGGGGGGGAGGGGGGAGGAGAAGGGAAATCCCTCTAGCCCCAGGGTATGTATGTGGAAGTGAGCCACAGAATGATTATTGTCAGGAAAGCGGCTGGTGGCAGAGCTGGGAGGCGATCCCAGATCTCTAGAGTCCCTTTTCAAGATCTCTTTCCATGTTGATTTACACTCAAGGATCGAAGACCTTCTCCAGAAGGTCATTCTAGCTCCACAACTGCTCCCAGCCTCCTAACCAAACTGTTTAGCTCAATGCAATCCATTGCCTCCTTTCAGGACGTGGATGGTGCTTTCATGAACAAGGTGGAACTGCAGGCCAAGGTCGACTCGCTGATTGATGAGATCAACTTCCTGAGAGCCATATATGAGGCAGTAAGTACTTGCAACACAGAGCTTCTGCAGCCTTGGTTTCTCCCACCCATTTAATGTAAACTTTTCAGATTGTTTCCCCCAGGGATGGGCTAAGCCCTTCCACTCTTCTGCAAGTACACTTGCTGTCTGCAGAGTCCCTGGCAGGTTTTAAAAAGCTACTTACTACTTCAGGCTTTACCCTCCGCTTGCTGTCCAGAATGAAAAGGAATTGTTTCAAATGGCAAGGAACAAATCCAAGGCTTATGGCTCACCCAAAAGTTTGCTTGGTTTCCAGGAACTGTCACAGATGCAGACACAAATCACCGACACCTCCGTCGTCCTGTCCATGGACAACAACCGGAGCCTGGACATGGACAGCATCATTGCTGAGGTCAAAGCTCAGTATGAGGACATCGCCAACAGGAGCCGAGTGGAGGCAGAGTCCTGGTACCAAGTCAAGGTAAATGGATGGGAAGCCATCAGGGTTTCTGTTCTGTTGTCTACAGTTCTGCTCCTGAGCAGGCAAAGCTCCAAGATACATATTTAAAAAGACAAGGGAGTGAAACCCACTCATGTTCACGGGGCAGCGCAAAGCCGCTATACCATTCAGTCCCTCACTCTGGCTTTAAAAAATCTGACCCAAAGTTTGTTGAAGTGAATGTAATGGCATGCGTTGACTGAAAGCGTTGATTTAAGTACAGGGTAAGAATTGCTGCATGCTGTCTGCTCAGGCTGTACATGGAGGAAGTTCACTCCCAAACTATTCTTTTAGGATTCAGGCACATAAGAAAAAGCAGAAGAAAAACAAATAGATGATGCCGATTCTTTCAGGGCACATCTCCGTGTGCAATTCATGCAACTGAATAAACTCCAGCACAGTTCATGCAGGAGTTTACCATTCTCAGGCCCCGTGTTTGCATGTGTGCCTCGGACCACAATACGTTGAGCTGGATTAGAGCAGCCCCAGCTGGCAGGGGACCCAGGAGCCAGCCTGGGTCTGCTCCAACCTGGCTCAACATGCTGCCGAGGGGCTGGCTGGGGCATGAGGGTGCTCCAGTGTGGGGTTAGTGGGCAGATGGTCCCTGAAGCGAAGCACCCTCGCGCCCCAGTCAGCCCTGTCAGCATCCACATGTGCATTGAGGCGCACTAAATAACACAGCCAACAGTACTTGTCTTGACAAATACTACCCTACCATGGCATTTATTAGTTTATTGTGGCCTAATAGGGCTGCGTGTATAGGTGCTGAGACTTTAATGTGGAGCTAATTAGTCATCTCTGCAGTAAACGTCTCGTGTAGATGCACCCTCAGGAGGGATGATAAAGTCCACTGAATCTCACTTAGGAGACACAAGTACGATTCTGAATTTGGGAATAAAACAGGAAAAAATATATATATGTGCACTTAAGAATGGACACCTGGTTATATTTGGGGCTAAAATACCAATTGCTTCCATGGATGTAAAGGCGGAGTGAGTCTATTCACTGCCATGGTGTCTCTCCAGATTTTCACCATTGGAAAGGAGAGAAGACTTGTCCCTTCACCTGTAGGACTGGGGTGTCGTTATAAAACAGAATCCTCAGACAGGATTGCTTCATATACCAGGATTTTACTATTGCTGTTGCTTAGCTGGAGGGTGTTTATATGACATGGAAAGAAGCACTGCGTTAGGCAACACATAGGTATCATTATATCTGACGCTTGCTCTACAGCTTATGGACTTTAACATCATTGGTGTGTCTTTTTATGTGCAACAGTATGAAGAGCTGCAGGCTACTGCCGGCAGACATGGGGACGACCTAAGAAACACCAAGCATGAGATCTCAGAGATCAACCGACACATCCAGAGACTGCGGGCTGACATCGAAAGTGTGAAAAGACAGGTAGGGGCGGTGAAAAACACATGAAGTAATTCTTTTATGATCTTGGATAATTCCTTAGCTTGAGGACCAAGGCCAACTCAACTCCGGGGTGCAAGTGAAGGTGACCTAGCTGAGTCCTGCATCATGATGGCTTCTGGGACCTTTGGTTTCAGAATGAATTCATCCTGAGAGCTTTGCCTATCAATGAATGACTAAGGATGGGCAAAACCTCAGCTGGTGTAAACAGCACACAGATTTAAACCAGATGGTGAAAACTGAGAAGAAGGGAAGTGCCCAAAATGCAATCCAAGTTTGTCTACCCAGAACAATCCAGGAGAGGTTATTCCATAGTAGAAAGAGAAAGAGACAGGAGAGAGTCATGTTGTAGATAGAGGTTGACAATGCTGTTCTCTCTCCTCTGCAGTGTGCCAGCCTGCAAGCAGCCATCGCGGAGGCCGAGGAACGTGGTGAGATGGCCCTCAAGGATGCCCGGGACAAGCTGGCTCAGCTGGAGGATGCCCTGCAACAAGCCAAGGCTGACCTGGCCCGCCAGCTGCGGGAGTACCAGGAGCTCATGAACGTCAAGCTGGCGCTGGACATTGAGATTGCCACCTACCGGAAGCTGCTGGAGGGCGAGGAGAGCAGGTGAGTACATGGCAGCCAGCGATCACCCTCATTTTAAGAGATGCCGAATACCCAGGGTTCCTGTCAGCACTAGGAGTAATGAGGGTACTCAGCAGTTTTGAATCTCAGATCCTTAAATTACAGATCACCTCATCATTAGTCCCACACCAATTTGCATATCAGTGGGAGAGCAGGTTGGAAATCTTCAAGGCATGAAACCCATTGAGAAATTTTAGGGCATTTGCAAAAATGAACTTTTCTTGTCATTAACTTGCTGAGAGAGGAGTCAGAATGATTCTAAATGTGAATGGACCATTGGTGGGTGGTCAAAAATTCTCTGTTGATTTTTTTTTTTAATGGAAAACTGTGGGTTTAATGGATGAAAGGGAAACTTCTTTGTGTAAAGTGCTTGCTGTGCAATATTTCAGTTTATATATATATAGATATAAAATATCTATATATACACACACACACATTCAGAGGACAGTTCTTGGCCATTTGCAGGCAGCTCTGGTCAGTAAAACTCACCTGAATTCTTACCTTCCTCTGTTTCTTTCTCCAACAGGCTGGTTGGAGCTGAGCCAGTGAATATCTGTAAGTCATTTACATGCACTTAGCTTATTAATCTCCTTACTCTAAGCTTCCTTTGCAGCTCGTTCGCTGATGTGCAATGAGATCTCATTGTCCGGTGTTTTCTTTTTGCAGCTGTGGTCAGCTCAGCCGTTGGAACCAGCTATGGAGGCGGAAGTGGCCTTGGCCTCGGCGGTGGTAGTGGACTGGGTATCGGAGGTGGTAGTGGTTTCGGCCTTGGTGGTGGAAGCGGCATGTGCGTTGTGGGTGGAAGTGGCCTCAGCATGGGAGGTGGGCTCGGCATTGGAGGAAGTGGCTTCAGCTCTAGCAGTGGAAGAGGCTCCTGCGGATTGAATGTTGGAGGTGGAAGTGGCTCCAGCGTGAAAGTCATCAAGACCACATCAAGCAGGAGAAGCTACAAATGCTAAATGTCAATCCTTGATTCTCCAGTAAATTGTTCCCACCGTTTCTGACATTGGCACACCATTGACCCACACGTAGAATGACCATAATGCAGTTGGCCAACCTTTTTTGACCTGAGTGCTTATAAATACAATGCATATTAAATCAAGAGCCTTGTATTATAGTCTCAGCTTCAGAAATGGGGGCCTATGTCTTGATTTTCCATTGTGGCATTACCCCTCTCCTGTTTTTCATTCTCACTCAGTAGTCTCACTCACACACAAACCTACCCTGGTATCCAACAGGAAGAGGATCTCTCTCTAAATGAGCTGCTTCTTCTAGTCACTGCTGTACACCTAGGTAAATTTTCAAGAAAATAAAAAAACCCGGTGCCCCCTTGTCATCTGAGAAGAACTTTCTGAATAACATTAGAACTGGAAGTCTGACCATTCATGGCTTGTCCCAATCCACTGCACATTTCCAAAAAGGTTCCTTGTGTCCATTTTAGCGACACATTTTTTATTGTCCTTTCTCTAGAGCGGGACAAGTGGTTATGCCATCCGGGTTATCTCATTATTCAGTAACAAAAAAATAGTTGCTTAGTTAGAAACTGATACCGTCATGTGTCTTGGCTCATTTCGGCTGTATTGGGTTCTGCATGCAACGGGGGTTATCATCTTCTTAATTTACGTGTCATGCCTGTCTCTTGTACTGCACAGACTTGTGAATTGTATTTGCAATTGAATTGCGATTCAAAGCTCTTGGCTCCATGTTGTATATAACACACGTCACCCTAGTGTTTGCTTCCTTCACTTTCTGGTGTTTGTCTAATAAAATGCATATGTAATTTATTTTGCTGTCCGGTCCTTTTTAAATGAAAAATGCTTAATAGAAAATGAACATACGTAGTCTAGACATTTTTCCCAGGGTCCTACAAATAGGGCTCGCTTCCTACACTTCCTGCGATGCCTCGATGTCAGTTGTCTTGTATAGAAACGGGGTAAAATTTCTTGAATTGGTTTGTAAACTTTCAAATGGGGCTCACAATGTCCTGTGGTTTAGCAGCTGCCAAAAGCCAGTGACAGCAGCAGGCAGGGGTGGATCCAGAGCAGATGCAGGGGTGCAGTCACATCTTGCTTTGATCCCTGCTCCACCCAAACTTTAAACCCAATTGCCTGGGAATGGCCAAGGCAGAGGCATTTCTATTCAGGCAGTGCTGAGAGAGTTAGTTGATTTCATAGCTCATTGTCATCTCCCTGATTCCTGCTAATCTCTCTCCACTCCACAGGTGTTAACAACCCTCTATACTTGTTAATGCTCTTGATGTTGCTTTATTCAAACCATCTTTTCTTCTGCAATGTAGCTGTCCGTCAGCCCTTCCCGGTGACATCTCAGCCCAGCAGACTTCACTGACATGCCCTGGCTAAAAACTTTAACTCAGTTGTGGTCATATTAACTCAGGTGTAGGAATGACTGGCAGTGAAGTACTGGAGGCACTGTTAAGATGCTCAGGAGGGCTAGATTTTGTTTTATGAATCTGAATAAGAGATGCACTACTCTAGTAACTACAGAATCAATGACACAATATCTTTGAACTATTTTGACTAATTTTGCCTAGTATGTTGTGGTTTTTAAAAAAATTATATATTTCATAGATTTCATAGACATTAGGGCTGGAAGGGACCTCGGAAGATCATCGAGTCCAGCCCCCAAATATATTGCTAGACTATATATAGTCTAGCAAATCAGTGCATAGTCCAACAGTTACATTTGTCTGTTAGTTTATTACATTTGTCTATATTAGTAAGATATTAGTATATTAGTATTCCTCTTTAACTGGATAATAGGACACACCGCATCATATGTGATGACGTGTCACACCATCTGCGCCACTTTTCAAAATCCTAGATCCGCCCATGGCAGCAGGATGAGTAGAGCTAGAGTTTGCATATTAAACAATATCTGAAACCCACTGCATCCTTGTGGCTTCATTAGTCTAGGAAAAAGAAAATGACAGTGTTTAATTATTTTCCACATCAGCTGGGGTATGGACAAGAAGAAACCAGCTTAATTTCTGCAAAGATTCAAGAGTTGTACATTAGGAAAACCTCTCTCACAATTAGGCTGGGATTGTAGCATTTCGTTGCTTAGAGGTTTTAAAGGCTCTGTTAAATGAACATCTGTCAGGCACAGCCTAGGTACCCTTGATAAAGTCTAAGTGCAGTTATCTAGCCTTGATGGTCTCCTGATATGTCTTCTAACCCTATATTTCTATGAATAAAGAAGAAATTCTCACATAGAGGATTACCTAATATTTCCAGCTTCTCTTCCTCTGCTCTTGCCGAGCCCAGTTTAACCATGACCATAGATGCACCCCAGTTCTTGGACTCCAGCAGCAGGCGGCTCTTCTGGAGTCCTGCATGCCCTGTGCCTCTAAGGGCTTAGGGCAGTGGTGAGAGCCAAATGGCTAGAGTCTGATCTAACTGCAGGCCGGATGGTTGTTCCAATCCAGCACCTGCGGCCAACACAGTGAGCACCATCTGGCCATGTGGAGGGGGGGAAGTCCAGCCCTGCAGGGCAGTAAGGAGGTTTCACCCAGCTCTGGGAGGATGGGGAGGAATGACCTGGCTGGAGGGGGGTGGTAAAGGGAGCATGGCTCAGCCCCATTGGAGGGCAGGGGAGTGACTTTGTCACAACCCAGCCTTGTGGGGAGGGGGAAGAGGGCTTGACCCAGCCCTGCAGGAGGGGGAGGATGTGTTACCCATCCCCATGTGAGGAGGGGGCACAGCCTGGCTCCAACTGGGCGCATGGGACTTGGGGTTTGGGGATTCAGTGGAGGGGGAGGCAGCCCTATTAATGCTCACTACTTCCCCACCACCAAATTTCCCACCCTGTGGGGAGCCCAGTGGGCCACATGCAATCACTCCCCAGGCTGCATTTGGACGGCCAGCCAGAACTGGAGCACCTCTGGCTTCAGACAAGACCCTATTGATCATGTAGGAGCCTCCAGGTAGGCAACCTGACCCCAGCTGTCTTTCCTGCCTGGTGCAGGGGGCTGGACCCGATGATCTTCCGAGGTCCCTTCCAGCCTTAAAATCTATGAATCTATGAATTACAGGGTCTTTAAATTAGGACTTGGCCCCAGGAGGGTGAAACAAATAAGCAGGGTCAGATTCCTCTACGGACATGAGATGCCTCTGAAGACTGATCCTGGATTAGGCTTCTAGTCCTTCTGCACAGAGAACGGGCAGAGTTAGGCATCTTTGAAGGTTGATTCAGAGAGCCCAGAGGTGCCCAAAGGTAGCTGATTCAAAGAGCTGAACACTGCGGTGCATCTAGCCGCCAGAAGCAACTTGGGCATTAGGTGCCTGACTCAGGCTGCCTAGGAAGTACCTCAGCTCACTCACAATTCAGGATGCCCAAGTCAAGCACTTAACTGATGGCTGTCAGCCTGTTGCCTAAAAGGGGAGCAGTGATATTGCCACCCTAACATTTCTAGAATGGGACTTAAGTCTATTGGGATGAATTAGGCAAGTTCAGGGCATGCTTAGGCACTTCCCCAGCACAAATCGGGATCAGAAAGGAGCTGAGGCAGGACATAGGCAGCTAATAGACCAAAATAGACTGATTTGGTGCTTGCTCAGGGGCCCAAGGGTAGGGGCTGAAAGAATAGAGCAGTCCAGAAGAAAGGCTGTGAATTAACTTAGGTGCATGTACATGCATGGCCGGTATGGATGATCCTTTATAAAGAAGTCACCTACCTTTCACCTGAGTCCCGTGTAGGTCTGGCCTTTAGCATCTAAACGGGTATATTATAAGCAGTGGAGGACCTGATCTGGCAAAATGCAGACTGTTTTTACCTTAATGCTTACTGGGGTCAAATCAGCAACTCCCAACAGGGGCATCTTGACCGGTTGCTTAGGCAGCACTTAATATTCTAGGGATGAACCTCTCCTTAGTCATATGGGAGCGGGGCTGGTCACATATTGCATCACAATATGACTTCAGCATTTACTGCTTGTGGCCCTTTCAGCCTCGTTTGCAAGGAGACAATGAGCCATAAGGAAAGGACACAGCGCAATGGGGAGGGAGAAGAAATCCACACCCTCTGCTCTCCTTCCGAAGGACATAATAGCCAAATTCATCTGTTTTCTGGGTGCGGGCATTCAAGACGGAGCACCCACAAATTTCCACCTGAGTTTTGCAGCTGCAAATACAAGCTATGCATCCCCTCCTGTCTTGCACCTTTTGCATCTTTTAGTGCCTGCGCAGATGCAAGTGCTTCAGCTTCTGGAGCTTTTGTGCAGGTGTCACTGCCACCATTTGCATAGAAGCAAGTGCTCGGGTCGGGTAGCTTCACTGGCACTGTCAAGGTTTTGTGCAGGGATAAGCGTAGGCACCAGCAAAGCTGAAACGTGTCTCCAAAAGCTGAGAAAATTCTCCCTTCAGTAAAGACAGAGCCTGGTGCAGGTGAAATTTCGAGCAGGAGCATCCTCTGCCCCTGTGAGGTCTCCATCCTTTGCACAAAGGACCAGCACTAAAGTCTATGTTCAGCTGAAGTGTCCTGGGTAGGGACCACCTAAATTACAGTGAGACAAAAGGGTTTTTCATGATGCACAGAGCTGATGCTGTAGGCATTTCGTGGTGGCGCTGCCCCTTGGTGCTGATGGATGGAGATGCCCTGGAGGGGGCAGGAGGAACAAGGGAGTGACCGCCATCTGGTCTCCTGCCATTCAGCATCTTCCCCAAGGACCGCTGGCTCCTGCTGGGGAGCCAGCTTTTTATTTTTATTAAGGGGGGTTTCTGCAAAATCCACGAAACCGCGACTGAAGTAGGTCCCTAGCCATGGGAGCCTTTACCATAAGCCCTGTACTCACTCTTTCTCTCTCTCTCTCTCGCTCCACATTTTAGGGAATTAACTTAAAACAACTGCCTTTCATCTTGACCCTTCTGTACCTCCAACATGATTTCAATGACCTAACCACTGAATTAATACTATTCATCTCCCATATTTATCTCTCTACCATCTTTCTCTCTGTGTGGGGGTTTTATACAGGCTCAGATTTTCAAGAGAAGAGCATATAATGACCTTGTATCTACAAGGATACATGTGAACTCAGCCACAACACCAAGACCTGTTGTTTCCTGTCACTCAATACATCACCTGCAGCAATGCAGGTGAGGAGCACTGATTCACTCTCCAACACACCAACCAAACTGGCACTTCAAATACTAAAGGCATTGCTGCAATCAAGACTGCAGGGAAGGGGTCAGAAATAGTGAGGAAGAAAAAAGGGTTGAGCAAGCAACTTTCTAGGAAGAAATGTCAAATGCGTGAGCACAAATGTTGCTTGGAAATGCAACTCTGGAGACTCTCACTCACACAGAGGGGCGTGTGATCAGGATGACCTCAGTGTTCAAAATGCCTCTGGCTATACCCTACCCAATTCATCAGCAAGATGAACCATTGCACTGAACCCATCCCAGTGCTGGGAGAGTATATTAATAAGCCCAGCCAGTGCCCCTGGAGAGTAGAGGGTCGTCCTTCTCTTCCCTTGGCTGCTCCGTGCTCTCTGCCACATCCTCACTCCTTCATTCATACTCCCAGTCTAGCCGAACAGCCACCATGTCTCGCCAATGCAGCATAACCTACCAGAGTGGGAAAAAGGGCTTTAGCACGGCTTCTGCCATCATCCCTAGCGCCTGCTGCACCAGCTTCAGCTCACGCACCGTCTCCCGATCGGGTGGTTGTGGCGCTGGTGGTGGATTTGCCGGGTTTGGTGGTGACTGCACCAGCTTCGGCAGCAGAAGCCTCTATAATCTAGGTGGCTGCAAGAGAATCTCCATTGCTGGAAGCAGTGGTGGCTTCTATGGAGCTCCAGGGCCCTATGGTTTTGGAGCTGGTGCCAGCAGTGGATTTGGGGCCCTATGGTTTTGGAGCTGGTGCCAGCAGCGGATTTTGTTACGGTGGTGGAGTAGGTGGTGGTTTTGGTGGTGGAGTAGGTGGAGGCTTAGGGTTAGGTGGACCTGGGTTCGGAGGTGGCATGGGTGGTCCTGGCTTCCCTGCCTTCCCACCTGGAGGCATCCATGAAGTGACTGTCAACAAGACCCTTCTTCAGCCACTTCATCTGGACATCGACCCCAGCATCCAGAGGATCCGCACGGAGGAGAAGGAGCAGATCCAGACCCTCAACAATAAATTTGCCTCCTTCATCGACAAGGTGAGACAAAACACTTCGCTGGTCTCTTGTGCCCAGTCTTTGCAGGGCGACAAAAATAACAGCAATCCATTTCTTTATCAGCATTTGGTTCTTCTACAACGTGCACAACAGAGCCAGGGTCCCACACCTGGCAATATGGAAACAAAGCTAGAGTAACCTGATTGGGCTGAGGCAAGTCATTCTGTCCATTGGTGCTGGGATTAGATAGTCAGTGTACTGACTACCTTATGGTGTTGTACCATTAGTAGTGCAATCACTGATTAATGCAGCCATACCAGCAAGTATACATTTGAATGTTCCCAGTCAGTTTTAAAGGGCAGACTGAAACAATACAGCTGCAGTTAGGTCGGGGTGGGCAAAATGCGGCCCGTGGGCTGGATGCGGCCTGCCAGGCCATTCTATCCGACCCGTGGGGCTCCTAAAAAATGTAGAAAATTTCCTTTACGCCAAGGCAACACGCATGCAAAATGCAGCTTGGGCATCTTAGTCTCACTTAAAACCCATTTGGCAAAGAGGTAGATGGTGACACAAGGTGCAAAGGAAGGAGGGGATTGGCCACCAACTACTTTGTGATACAGGTGAGGTCCTGGAAGACGCATTTTTATATCAGCTGAGGGTCTAGCCTTTACATCTTTCTGTGACCTCCAGCCTCTCATCAGTGGCTCTGAAGAACTACAGGCATTCCCTACCCGTCAGGCAATACACTGCACCTTGCAGGACTGGGTGCTTAGCCCTGCTCTTCTGAGGCATCTTCTGGACACTTTTGATTGCAGGTCCGATTCCTCGAGCAACAAAATAAGGTGCTGGAAACCAAATGGACCCTGCTGCAGGAACAGGGACAGAAAACAATCAGGAACAACATTGAGCCCCTTTTGAAGCCTACATCAATAACCTCAGGATGCAGCTGAACGGCCTGGTGGGGGACAGGGGAAGGCTGGAAGGAGAGCTGGACTCCATGAAAAACCTCGTGGAAGATTTCAAGAACAAGTAAGTCTGGTTAGCGAGCTTCCCACCTCTCATGCTGGGTCAATTCTTGCAGGCTCCAAATCACCAAAGCCCCTGGGGACCTAAATCAAGGAAATAATGTCTTGGCAATCAGATAATAGATGGATAGGAGAGGGAGAGGAGGTACAAACATCAATGAGTGAATTTACCGAGGGGCATAAATTCTGCCTAGATGACGGCACTTTCCATACTACATTTTCCTGTGGAAGTCCAACTATCCAAGAATTATACGCATCTCTATAGGAATGGGAAGGGACATACTGACACGAGAATATTTTCCATACAAAAATGTGCACCAAGATTTGGCAATGATAAGACTTCAGCATATCAGCACACAATGAGACAGATCCGTGAGACTTTGGAGGCAGATTGCTTCAATCGCACAGAGGAAGATGCAGTGAGAAGGACGGGTGGCCACAAATACAAGCTAGAGAAGAGCAGATTTCTCTAGGCTGCTTTTCAATGCACCTGGCATGCTGGTTTTTAACTAGCTGAGCAGACATAAGGCTCAAAGAAATAGCCTCAAAGATAAAATTGAGATCCTTCTGGTAGCAGAGATAAGCAGGGCCCCTTGGGGAGTTCCTTCTCACAGGCTGCAATCATCTCCTGCTTTACCTAAACCGGCTCTTCCTTCTTCTCCTTCCCTTAGGTATGAAGATGAAATCATCAAGCGCAACACAACTGAGAACAAATTTGTGGTGCTCAAGAAGGTGAGCGTGATTTTGGGAATGCAATCATGATTCTTCCTTGGGAGGTAGCAATCCCTAGAAATCCTGGATCCCGAGAGACCGACCTAGCCCACCGGATGCACTGTAGTGTAGAGGGGCAAATGGTGGGGGGAAAAAGAAGTACCGTTCTATTTACAGGCATAAAAAGCTTTAACTGGCTTGTCCATGGATCTACAGGGACACTGCAATGATCCCAGACATCCTGAGTCTCTTCCCAAAATCTCTCATGATCTCATTCTGTTTTAAATGTTTCAATTTATGCAAAAAAAATCCGGAATATTTGGGGTTTTCTAGAAAGTTATTCTGGAGTTGAGTGCTCCCAGTCAGCTGATGAAAGTACTTAGCTCAATGCAATCCATTACCTCCTTTCAGGACGTGGATGGTGCTTTCTTGAACAAGGTGGAACTGCAGGCCAAGGTCGACTCGCTGATTGATGAGATCAACTTCCTGAGAGCCACGTACGAGGCAGTAAGTACTTGCATCCCAGAGCTGCTGCGGCCTTGGTTTTCCCCACCCATTTAACGTACACTTTTCAGATTATTTTCCCCAGAGATGGGCTAAGCCCTTCCACTCTTCTGCAAGTGCACTGGCTGTCTGCAGAGTCCCTGGCAGGTTTTGAAAAGCTACCTGCTACATCGGGCTTTACCCTCCGCTTGCTGTCCAGAATGAAAAGGAATTGTTTCAAATGGCAAGGAACAAATCCAAGGCTTATGGCTCACCCAAAAGTTTGCTTGGTTTCCAGGAACTGTCGCAGATGCAGACACAAATCACCGACACCTCCGTCGTCCTGTCCATGGACAACAACCGGGACCTGGACCTGGACGGCATCATTGCTGACGTCAAAGCTCAATACGAAGACATCGCCAACAGGAGCCGAGCGGAGGCTGAGTCTTGGTACCAGACGAGGGTGAGTCACTAAGAATAATAACTATTTTATCGTGGGCACTGCTGCTCCTGAGCAGATCAACAAATATTTGGGACTTCAAGAAATCCCACAGAAGGTAAAAACCATGCCTCGACAATAAGTAGCACATGACACCCATACAGAATGAGCCCCACTGCATCCTCGGATGGGATGGATTCATTCTCTACTCTGTTAGTACTGCTGCTGCTCTTTTATTTGTACTCGCATAATAAAAGTATCAAGGATTTACCCGTTGTCTTGGGCACTGCAGCCTCATGTAATGACATGCAAGTCCAGCCCAAAACCTCATGGATTTTCACCCAATTGGTGCATTCCTTTATGTGCAACAGTATGAGGAGCTGCAGGCTACTGCCGGCAGATATGGGGACGACCTAAGGAACACCAAGTATGAGATCTCAGAGATCAACCGACACATCCAGAGACTGCGGGCTGACATCGATGGTGTGAAAAGACAGGTGAGCATCCAGAGAAAGTACACGAAGTCATTCTCCCAACTGTAGTACATATTAGCTCTGGAGCCAAGATCTACTCAACTCCCTGGAAAGTCAAGTCAGTGCCATGGCAGGGACTTTTTGTTTTAGCAGATTTGAATTTGCCTCTTTTATCTCCGTATAAACTTGTCACTGAGATAAATTAAAGGGGATGATATGGGATAGCATGGTTATAGCATCTAGCGGCAAAACCTAAGGTAGCATTCATGGGCATACAGCCACAAAGACATGCATCAGAATGTGATTTGGCCACAACCATAGAGAAGCCCATGCGAGGAAAGAAGAAAGGATGAGAATTTAATCCAGAACAAGTGAAATCAGGTGATTTCACAGTAGAAAGAAAAAGAGTCACATCGGAGATGGAGGTTGACAGTGCTGTTCTCTCCTCCCCAGTGTGCCAACCTGCAAGCAGCCATCGCGGAGGCCGAGGAACGTGGTGAGATGGCCCTCAAGGATGCCCGGGACAAGCTGGCTCAGCTGGAGGATGCCCTGCAACAAGCCAAAGCTGACCTGGCCTGCCAGCTGCGGGAGTACCAGGAGCTCATGAACGTCAAGCTGGCGCTGGACATCGAGATCGCCACCTACCGGAAGCTGCTGGAGGGCGAGGAGAGCAGGTGAGGCGAGGGCAGCCAATTAGAGAGGTACCAAACACCCATCAATGCTAATCAAGGGAGACGCAGGTGCTGAGCACTGCTGGATATTAGACTCTTAAGTAATATCAATGCACCTCATCCCGATTCTTACCTTCCTCTGTTTCATTCCCCAACAGGCTGTGTGGAGAAGGTGCTGGGCCAGTGAATATCTGTAAGTTGTTTGAATGCACTTTGCTTATAAACTGCCTGGTTTTCATTTCCTTCTGCCACTCCACAGCTGCTATTCCCTATTGCCTGGTGTTTTCTTTTTGCAGCTGTGGTCAGCTCCAGCTGTGGAAGTGGAGGCAGCCTTGGCCTCGGCACTGGAAGTGGTCTGGGCATTGGAGGTGGTAGCGGTCTTGGCCTGGGCAGTGGAAGTGGTGTGTGCGTTACAGGCGGAAGTGGCCTCAGCATGGGAGGTGGGCTCAGCATTGGAGGAAGTGGCTTCAGCTCCAGCCGTGGAAGAGGTTCCTGCGGGTTGAGCGTTGGAGGTGGAAGCAACTCCAGCGTGAAAGTCATCAAGACCACGTCGACTCAGCGGTGCTACAGAAGCTAAACCTCCTTCTCCACAGAAAAGATCCTTATTGTGCCCTGATGTTAGCACAGTCCTGCCCCACAAAAAGACGACCATCCTGAAGAAGACGACCAACATTTTCTAATCTGGGGGCCTAACCTTAGGGTTTAAGTCCTTTTTCTTGCAGAATCATAGAAAACGAGGGTTGGACGGGACCTCAGGAGATCATCTAGTCCAACCCCCTGCTCAAAGCAGGACCAGCCCAACTACATCATCTTGAATCAAGGACTTCACATTCAAACCTCAGCCTCAAAAATGTTGGTCTATATCTGTACGTGTTCAAACCCAACCGTGCCTCTCTCCTTTCTCCCTCTTACCATCTTTTGTCATAGAAATGTGCATCCTCTATCCAATGTGAAGAGAAAGTACATATTCCTCCAGCTAGCACTGTCATCTAATCCTCAACACCCACCCACCCCCCCAAAAAATTGACAAAAATAATAAAGAAACGAGTTATGAAGGGCTTATGGAAATTCAGTGTTAAGTCAAGCACATTAAAACTCTCCCTCAAGAGCTTTTTGCTGAAACATTGGGTTTTAAACAAAACAAAGCTTTTCAAGAAAAGTTGAAAGCCAAGTGATTAAAAACCAATCAATCAATCAATCAATCAATCAAAACAAATCAAAATTACTGGTTTTCTAGTGTTAAAACTGAAATTCAACTGTTCTTCCTTCAGGCATTTTTTTTTAAATTTCATCCATTACTCCATCTCTTTATTTGCTGCCTATCTGGAATTCAAATCATCTGGTCTTACGTTGTATAAATAATGTGCCGTGCTATTGTTTGTTCCTTGAGTCATGGGCCAACGTTGCTGAGTACCCCTCATTTTCCAGTGTTTGTCTAATAAAATGCATGTTCAATTTATTCTCTTTCCCGATCTCTTTTTATTCAATCGAGAATTAATGTACATAGGAAGTATCCCCGCGGTCTTGCATATTTTGCTCTCCAATTAACCCCCTGCAATTTACTGACAGCAATGGTAATAGAAATAGGGTGGTAACCCTTTAAAGAATCCAATGGAGCTCAAAGTGTTCGGTGTTTCGAAGCCACCAGAAGCTCTGCAGAAAAACAGAATATGAGCAGCTAGATTTTGGATATTTTCATATATTTTGGACTCAATATATGGAATACACTTGTGCCCATTTTAGTTTTTTCATATTATAATATTTATAGGAGGAGCAAAGGAACCGCAGCAATGGATCTGGGAACGTCCTGACTCTTATGGCTGGGTGTAGAGGGAAATAAAGACCTGCAAGTATGACCCAAGCCTTGGAAAGGATCACTCACCTCCTTCCCCAGTTGCATTACACTTTGTGCTCTCTGACAGAGTGTACCCGCTTCTCCTACTCCAAGAAGCTGGAGTAAACATTTATGTGTGCAGATTTTTATAGTTTGGTATCTTAGCTTCCTTTTGGCATCCCAACAAATCTGCCGTAATTTATTACTTTGGTGTTCAAATACTATCGCTGTAAAAAAAAAAATTAGGGGATGAGTAACACACGGGTTATAAATCTAGTTTCTGCATGCAAAGATTTTATTGCACACCTTGTACTGAACACAGTTGCTGCAGGGGTTATTAAAAGGCACTGCAATGGCATCATGGTACTTGGAAATGGAAAAAGGCCCTGAGATCACTCCTTTGAAGAAGAACAGAGTCCCCTCGTGGAAGTTGCATGTGATACTCAGATCTGTTGATTTTAAAGGAAGAAGGAGCCGTTCAGCTCATCTGGGCTGACTTTCTGTATGAGTCTCCAAACACAGTCCACCGATAATAAGTTCCACCAATGACCAGTTAAATGCACCTCGTTCAATGGAATATATGGCACCATGCCAAAAGAGAATGAAAGGGGAGGGAACCCATTTCATACGCCCTTTCATCTCATTGCTCCGGGACATCTGCTGGCAGCATCTTTTCCTTGCAAAAGAAGCTCTAGCCTCTGCACTTAGAGAGGGACGATGTTAAACTTCCCTGGCACAAGACAGCTGTTGTTAAAAAAGTCCAGAGACAAATTCTGTGGCCAACGCCGTTATAGGGGAAGTCACGGCAGATTATCACCATACTCCCTTTTGGCCTTCCCATCGAAGCGGCTGTGAGATACTGAATTCATTGGAGTTCCTGCAGGTTGACGCCGGTAACCAATGTCAGAACTCAGCTCCCAACAAGAACCCTTAACACCTCCGCTTTCACTGCTAAAACCCTGCCCAACAGTCCTCTGTCTGACACAACTCCCCATTGATTTCACAGCAAGAGCTGTGTGCAAGGACTGAGCCGGGCTGTAAGACAGCCAAGTGGCCGAAGACATCTGTTCCCTATCACATTGTGGCAAAGGTGCTGCTTTACCACCAATAGCTCCTCTATTATCACAGCCGCTTCACTAGGGGTGTGGATGTGCAGCAAAACAAATGTTGATATCAAGTTCAAAGCAAATGCTGCAGGAACCACCAGGTTCCCCCCCCCCCCCCCCTTCTTTTTGTACTAAATCCTGCTATGAAAATTATAGAGTAGAGAATGTGGGTTCGCTTTATGAGTCTGCAGGTTGCCAGGCTATGAGGTATTCCCTACGAGCCCAGCGATTAGTGAAACAGGGAAGGTGGCCCGCTGCCAGGCATACCAAGCTGATGTATTCAGTGAAATGGTCTGGGATAATGTGCGGCCAAGCCCAGCTCTTTAAGAGGATAAAAAGTGGGAAACACTAGCCCCAAACTCACAAGGATCTTCCTTCCTTTGCATTTCAGCGATCTCAGCCTGCCAGCTCCTCTTACCTCTTGCTGTGAGAAACCATGGCTCAAGTCATTAAGAATTTTAGCACTTCTTCAGCCGGTATCCCAGTAGGCCGAACCAGCTTCAGCTCCATCTCTGTGTCCCGGGGAGGCAGTGGAGGTTTGAGACAGATCGGCGGGGGTTTCGGCAGTAGGAGTCTCCACAGTCTAGGTGGAAGCAAAAGAATTTCTATTAGTGGAGGCTATCATTCAGCTAGATCTGCGTATGGCTACGGTTTAGGTGGGGTAGGGTATAGGATTGGTGGAGCGGGCTATGGCTTCGGTGGAGGATTCGTACCTGGATCTGGTGGCATTCAGGAGGTCACCGTCAACCAAAACCTCTTGACTCCTCTTAACCTGGAGATCGACCCTAACATCCAAAGAGTGAGAAAGGAGGAGAAGGAGCAGATCAAGACCCTCAACAACAAATTTGCCTCCTTTATTGACAAGGTAAAGTGTGAGTTGCTTCCTCTAAGAAGCCTATCCCTGTTCACCTCCCATTATCGATGTGATAAACAAGCCAGATTGTTCTCACTCGGCACGTCTACACATGCACTTTAACGCACATTAGTCTATTTTAATGCGCATTAAAGTGTCACTAAAAAAACCCCCATGCACTTTCACTAATGCCTATTAAAATAGGCGAATGTGCCTTTTTCTAGTACCTCAGAATGGAGGTACTAAATTTAATGTGCATTAGCAAAAGTGCATTAATGGACCTGTAGACACGCCCAGTTGTCAGTAACAAAATGATCATAATTGGTCCAGATCTAGATTTTTGACTGCTGCACTGGTTAAATGGAAGGCTTCAGTTCAACCTCTGCAAAAATACAGTCATGAAACAGTTTAACCCTTCATCTTTCTTCCTGTCAGCATTTCAATATGCAATGTTTTCAATGTGCAATGATTCTGCAAACTTCTCTTCTAAAACCTGGAGGGACCAATATTGTTCTTTACAGGGGGGGAAATGGAATATAAATAGTTTTTTTCTGCCCCCATCTAGGTAAGAGTGGGTAGTGGGACTTGTTCTTCGGCTAGTGCATATCTCTTCTTAATTAAAAAATGCTGCTAATGACAAATGAGGAATGCAAAATGTCATTGTCAAACCAATTATTTTTAGCAAGACTACTGATAGTAAAGCAAATTTTAAGAAACACTGCACCTCTTTGAATTCCTGTTTAAAATATCAGTGCATTATCTGTTAAGTCCTCATAAGTGCAGGTAAGATGTGGGAATAGTTTCAGCCTCAAAGGGATGATTATCTAAGATATTTCCTGATCTTCTGGTAAAAATTGCATAGAAACGGTTGGCTGTTGCACCTCCCTCCGTGGTTTTATGCCCTCTAGTTTTGTTGTGCATCAGATATACCCGTCAAGGCATAATATACTAAAAAAAAAACCCTTTTCAGAAGATCTTAGTTTGCTTTTTTTAAATGGATGAAGCTCCATGAGATCCTTCAAGCGATATTCTCTCTGGTGGGATTCAGGTCCGGTTCCTGGAGCAACAGAACAAGGTTCTGGAGACCAAATGGAGCCTCCTGCAGGAACACAAAACGGCTAGAAGTAACATTGAGCCCATGTTCGAGGCTTACATCAGCAATCTGAGACGGCAGGTGGAGGTGTTGGGTGGGGAAAGAATTCGGCTAGATTCGGAGCTGAAGGGCATGCAGGATGTCGTTGAAGACTTCAGGATCAGGTAAGCCAAAGGAAGAGGAACACTGCCCTGTTCTTCTCTAAGCTGAGCTGTTGCTTTCAAACTCATAAGACATGCCATCAGTACGGTACCAACCAAGAACTACGATGACTCTGAGATATAAGGATAACCAGGTTCAGGTATGCAGTGGGCCTGTGCGAGTAAGCAGATATTCAATCTGTCTTCTGATCCATCCACTTCAGATGCCAGAAATCTGATCTGGAGCTCCGGACTGGGTTCCCATTTCGATCCGTCCAAAGTGGCTTCGAAGCTTTAGAGCTGCCTTGGAGATCCGACCATAGGGTATAATGGGGAATCAATGAAATATCTATAACTTTGGGGGGGGTTTTGTCTGATTTGGATTAAACTTTCAGGTATGGTAGCCTCTTCTGAGAGCATGAATCCTGCCAAGTTTCAAGAAGATCAATGCAGGGGTTTGGGGGGAACTGCACCCCAAATTCTTGAAAGCAAAACTCATGTCACGTGCATGTGTTATATCACAGGGGGTGAAAACTGCAGGGATGGTAGCCCCTGGTGAGGCCGCAAAGCCTGCCAGCTGTCAAGGAGATAGGTGTAGGGGTTTGGGGGGAACTGCACCTGAAGCTGCTGACAGGCAAAACTTCTGACATAGATGACCGTGTATGTGTTAAGGCACAGCGGGCTGAAAACTGCATGGATGGTAGCCCCTGCTCAGGCCATGAAACCTGCCAAGTTTTAAGGAGATAGGTGCAGGAGTGTGTGGGAAACTGCACCTCAAGCTGTGGACAAGCAAAACTCGTGACATGGGGGACGCTGTGTGTGTTAAGGCGCAACAGGGTGAAAGTTGCAGGGATGGTAGCCCCTGCTGCGGACACAAATCCTGCCAGCTGTCGAGGAGATCGGTGCAGGGCTTCTGGGTTCTCGTGCCCTGCACCTCTAGTCGCTGACAGGCAAAAGTCATGACATGGGTGTTGTGCACCTGTGCTGATCTTCTTGAAACTTGATCTTCTTGCAACTTGAAACTTCCTGCTCTCAGCAGAAGCTACCACCCCTGCAAATTTCATCCAAATCAGACAAAAAACAACAAAGGTATAGATATTTCATTGATTCCCTGTAATACCTTCTGGCCAGATCTCCAAAGCGGCTCTGAAGCTTTTCCGAAGCACTTCGGAAGCTCTGAAGCACTTTGGAAAGCCTAACGAAGCCAGCGCCTCAATCTGGACATGCTGCTTCGGATGTCGAAGCGTCCGAAGCCTCTCCAAATCTGAAGCATGGTCCGAAGCCTTGCACAGCCCTAGTACGCAATGGTTGTTTCTGTGTTGGTGGGACGTGTTATCTGCCAAAGACCTTGAGAGGGAAACAGCCAAAATATTTTTGTTAACAGCTCTTTTCTGAGCTCAAAGGATGTATTAGTGAGTGTACATTTTAGTTGGTTTCTAATTATAATGATTTATCATAGGCACCCTGGTCAGGTCTCTGTGGTACCACAGGCTGAGAGTCAGGAGACCTGAAGCTGTTCCTAGCTTTGCTCCTCAACCCGATATGTGACACTAGGCAAACCATGCCCCCAAGTTATCTCCTGCAGAATAGAGGTAATAGTGCTGGTCAGCCTTTTGTAACGTGCCTTGAGGTCTCTGGCTAAAACCTGCAACCTCACTACGATTATTAACACCAGTTTCCATCAGAGGACATCAAACTACCTTCTGAAAAGGGAGGGATTATCTCACTTTATGCCTGGGGAAACTTAAGTGACTTGCCCACAGTGACAAAACACAATGGTGGTAGAACTGGAAATCATGCCATGCCCGTTTGATGTCCAACTATGGATTTCACTGCAGGTAGTGCGTTCAGGGGCATGCATCCTGTATCAAGGGGAGTACTCTCAAGTCTTTCCTCTTGGGAAGAGCCAGGCTTGTTTGGCTTGTTTTATGAGCTGTAGACAATCTTTCTTTGAATTTTAGCCTTTCATCTCCCCCTTTTAATTTGGGCTGGGCTGCAGGCCATGCTTAGAGTCAGCCCATTTACTCCCCAGAGAACTAACTGATGTTGCTACGCGCTATTAAGCAAGCAAGCCAAGCCATGAACTCAGACTCTGGTTTCCTTGTGTGCCAGGCCAAACTTGGCCCCCCCTCATGCTCCTCACCTCTGCAGCTCCACTGAAGTCAATGGGATGGGAAGTTGCAGAGCACAATTTGGCCTCTCCTGACTAAGCCAGGCATGTCTCTGCTGAGCTCATATCATGCCCCACCCAATCCTTCCAGCCTGAAATATCACAAGGCTTCTATTCATATAGGATGAAAACAATTATAGGAGGATAAAACATGCTTTAATGAAGATTTACAGGTCCTCTGGGTGGACTTCTTCTGTTGTCTGGCTCCAGGGCACTCTCTTTCCAACTAGGCTGGTCATATATGCCTGGCATGCTAAAAACAGCAGCTGTGCATCATCAGAGAGCTGGTCCTGCAGTTCTCTGATATCTATGGAGGCTTTTGTCCACCTGGAAGATAACGGATCTGAATGACTTCGGTCCATGTTACTGATAGACACAATAAATATATGGTTAAAAAATAACAGCCCAGGAAATATAACAGCTAGCTTGTGGCAAAGGCTCTCTGAATGTATGTGCTGGATGGCATCCAGTTATACTGATACGAGCCATAATAAGACACGCATCTCCCTGTCCTCCCAACAGGTATGAAGATGAGATCCACAAGCGCACAGCTGCAGAGAATGAGTTTGTGGTGCTGAAGAAGGTGAGTGACACTAGCTTTAAAAAAAGAAAAAGGAACATCAGAGTTTAAGAGAGAAATGCACTTTTGCTCCTTCAGCATTTTTGTCTCCAATGGTTCAAGAGATCAAAATGCTGCACAAGCATCTCATATACTACACAAAAGCAGCAGTGTATCCATGCCAGAGCAGTGGCTCTAAGTGCCCACTAGAACTGGTCAACAATATTTTGACAAAAAGGTTGTTATTATCATTATCATTGCTATAAAAAATGAAATTTCATCAACCCTTTTCTTTGGGGAAAAACCCCTTCATTTTGACAACGCCTATAAATTCTCAGCCTGGGTAGGGAATAATCATATCCCAACCAACTCTCTTTCAAATCTCCATGAATGATCAATTCTGGCTGTTCCCAGACGTGTTGGTGAAACATGGAAGGACCCATCAGCTGGAATACAGATGGGAAGTGGTTTGTAATACAGTGCTTACTGCCTTCTTTTTAGGATGTGGATGCTGCCTACATGAACAAAGTCGAGCTGGGAGCCAAAGTGGATGGTCTGACTGATGAGATCAACTTCTTGAGAGCTCTCTATGAAGCAGTAAGGACCCTTTAAATATTCCCAGCCAAGTATAATACCCATTTTCCACCCCATGTGCCAAGCTTCTGTGAAGAAGATGCAACCCAAGAAAAAGGTGGGAAAATGGAAACCCTGCCCCTGACAAGAGGGATGTGGATAACCTGGAGAGGGTCCAGAGAAGGGCCACTCGTATAGTTAAGGGCTTGCAGGCCAAGCCCTATGAGGAGAGACTGGGGCACCTGGACCTCTTCAGCCTCCGCAAGAGAAGGCTGAGAGGCGACCTTGTGGCTGCCTATAAGTTCATCACAGGGGCGCAGAAGGGAATTGGTGAGGCTCTACTCACCAAGGCGCCCCCCGGGGTTACAAGAAATAATGGCCATAAGCTAGCAGAGAGCAGATTTAGATTGGACATTAGGAGGAACTTCTTCACCGTTGGAGTGGCCAAAATCTGGAATGGGCTCCCAAGGGAGGTGGTGCTTTCCCCTACCCTGGGGGTCTTCAAGAGGAGGTTAGATAGGCATCTGCCTGGGGCAATCTGAACCCAGCACACTTTCCTGCCCGTGCAGGGAGTCGGACTCGATGATCTATTGAGGTCCCTTCCAACCCTAACATCTATGCATCTATAAATCTATGACTGATTTTTCTCCGATTAACAGGAATTAGCTCAAATGCAGTCACAAATCTCTGAAACCTCCGTTGTCCTGTCCATGGACAACAACCGTAACCTGGACCTGGACAGCATCATTGAAGAGGTCAAAGCTCAGTACGAAGACATCGCCAACAGGAGCCGGGCGGAGGCAGAGTCCTGGTACCAGAGCAAGGTGACAAGCTGTAGAGTTATGGGGGTTCAGACGGTGGCATTTATTACTGAAGCTAGTCTGAAAATTCTGGTCCATAGTTTGCTGTCAAAAAAAAAAATGCTGTTTTGACAAAATCATTTCAATTCATATCAAGAAAAAAATAATTTGACAAATGTATAGACATGCCACGCTGATGTCCTGCAAAATAAACTGAATGAAACATTTATAATTTACTGAAGCAAAGCATTTCACCTGACCTGGGCCAATATTTTTTTTTTTATTTCAGAATTTCAGTCCATGATGAATTTCAAAACTTTTGACTTTTTCTCTTGTTTTGATGGGCTTGGGTAGGGGGGCAGTGGGGAGGGGACTGAAATCTTCATATTTTTGGAAAGGTTGGAAAAACCATTTGCTGGCTCAAGTTATTCATCACCCAGTGGGCTGCTACTAACCTATAAGAGTGTGGAAAGAAGTTATTTTAAACCATAGCATCCATTATGGCTTACCCTCTCCAGTTAGACTTTGAAAACATAGAGCCTGATTTTCCCCTCAACACTTTGGATCCCATTCTCAGCTAGTGTATCCTGCTGCTGTGGTCAAAGGAGCACCCCCAGCTAAAGGCAGATGAGCATTGGACCCCATGTTTTTACTTGAACTGTCAGCAGAGAAAGAGATAAAACAAGGTTACAGCAGTTTACAAGGACCTGTTGCCACTTATCTCAGGCTCCCAGCAATGTCTAATGGTTTCACACACTTGTGTCTCCCTCTCCTGTCTCTATCTCAGTATGAGGAGCTACAACTCACGGCCGGCAGGCACGGGGACGACCTGCGCAACACCAAGGTTGAGATCACCGAGATGAGCCGCATGATCCACAGGCTTCACTCTGAGATCGACAGCGTTAAGAAACAGGTACTGGACAAGGTGCCTCACAGGGGGCCTAAGGCTGATATTCTGAGAGAAGAGGACAGATGGTGCAAAAGAGGCATTGGCTTTCAGGGGTCAGAGTGGTTGCACGCACACATCCTCCAGGAACCCTTGACCTGGCAGCTCTATGCCACCTCCATGCCTCTTCAGCAAAATGGAAATGTCAGGGGTGGAAGTTGTATTGGTGAAGAACGTTCTACACAGTCTTTCCCCAAGACTATAATAGCCTGAAGAGAGGGAAGCATATAAGACTGTAAGTTGGATAGAGAACTGGCAGGAGCATTGGGCTCAAAGGGTAGTATTCAGTGGCTCGATGTCTAGTTGGCAGCTGGTATCAAGTGGAGCGCCCCAGGGGTTGATCCTGGGGCCGGCTTTCTTCAATGTCTTCATCAACGACCTGGAAGATGGCATAGAGTGCACCAAGTCTGCAGATGGCACCAAGCTGGGGAGAGTAGTGGATATGCTGGAGGGTAGGGCTAGGATTCAGAGACACCTCGACAAATTGGAGGATTGGGCCAAAAGAAATCTCATGAGGTTCAACAAGGAGAAATGCAAAAGGGCAAAGTCTTACAAGGACTTTGCAAAGACTTAGGATGGAGCAATCCCATGCACCGGTGCAGGCTGGGGGCTGACCGGTTGGGCAGCAGCTCTTCAGAAAAGGACCTGGGGGTCACAGTGGACAAGAAGCTGTGTATGAGCCAGCAGTGTGCCCTTGGTGCCAAGAAGGCTAACGGCATCCTGGGCTGCACTGGTAGGTGTGTTGTCAGAAACTCAAGGGACGTGACTATTCCCTTCTATTCAGCACTAGGGAGGCCACATCTGGAGTCCTGTGTCCAGTTTTTGGCCTCCCACTATAGAAAGGAGATGGACAAATTGCAGGAGTCCAGCGGAGGGCAACAAAATTGGTGAGGGAGCTGGGGGACATGACTGATGAGGAGAGGCTGAGGGAACTGGGCTTACTTAGTCTGGAGAAGAGAAGACCGATTGGGGATTGAATAGCAGCCTTCAACTCCCTGCAGGGGGGTTACAAAGAGGATGGAGCTGGACTGTTCTCAGCAGTGGCAGATGGCAGAACAAGGAGCAATGGGCTCCAGTTGCAGCAAGGGAAGTTTAGGTTAGATATTAGGAAGAATTTTCTCACTAGAAAGGTAGTAAAACACTGGAACAGGTTACCAGAGAGGTGGTGAAAGCTCCATCCTTGGAGGTTTTCAAGACCCAGCTTGACAAAACTTTGTCGGGGATGATCTAGTCATGGTTGATTCTGCTTTGAGCAGGAGGTTGGACTAAATGACCTCCTGAGGTCCCTTCCAACCCTAATTTTCAATAATTCAGTAATCCTATGGTTCTATAAGACTAAGTTACAGCATCACTATGGCTGCTCTAGTTTACTCAAAGGTTGGTAAATCATCTCGTGCTAGCCCAGGAGAATGAGTGTAAATGTGTCTTAAGGGCACTCAGTGGAAATCTGGCACACCTCAGGACCAGTGTCTTCAAGACTGTTTCATATCAAGCTAGGAGATACACAAAAGAGCTCAAGGATGTGAACCCCAGCGCTGCAGCCTCCACACATGCACTGCTTGCCATACTTGACAGTTCCTCTGGAAACAGAGAGTTTGCACATCCTGCCATGCTCCATCTGGGATTCACAAGTGCATGTTCTCCTGTCCACAGTGTGCCAGTCTGCAGACAGCCATCGCCGATGCTGAGCAGCGCGGGGAGCTGGCCCTCAAAGATGCCCGGGTCAAACTGGCTGAGTTGGAGGATGCCCTGCAGAAGGCCAAGCAGGACATGGCCCGCCAGCTGCGGGAGTACCAGGAGCTCATGAACGTCAAGCTGGCACTGGACATCGAGATCGCCACCTACCGGAAGCTGCTGGAGGGCGAGGAGAGCAGGTGGGTGCATCACGAAGTAGAGATATCAGTTATTTTTTCCATTTCAACAATTCTCCAGGGTCTGCCCAATATTCCCTGGTCGTTTGCTGAGATGCTACATTACACGGTGCTATAGTCATGGGTGCCAAACTCTGTCATTGCTCATAGCAACCATTCATAATAATATCATCCTTTTTTCTTTCCATCACAGGCTGGCTGGAGAGGGTGTTGGTGCAGTGAACATCTGTAAGTATTGTGACTCTCAATTGCCTGATACGCACTCCACTGAAGAGTAATTATTCCGCAGGACAGAGAAGGAGGTGGAGATGGCACAATGCAACTGAGATACGAGGCTGCAAACAGATGTAGCAGTAAACAGGGAGTGTAAAATGGGTCTGCCACTCTGGACAGGACAGAGACAAGAGCATCTGAACTATTTCCCCTAGGCCAGGTCTTGAACCTGCATAGCCTCTGTCTTGTAGCTGGTTTCCAGTTCACTATTGTGCACCCATAAACTGCCATGAATCCCTAGGCTGGGCCTCCAACTATTCAATATTTCCCCTCAACCCCTCCTACGCACCTGTGCTCTTACTGCTGGCAGCAAGAAAGGGCTAATCTGGGTGCATGCTTGTCAATGCTACATCAAGGCAAAAGCTCAAATGTTTGAAATTCTATTTAATGAAACACTTCAACGTTTCCCAAATTGAATATGAACTTTTGAAAAAAAGGACACCGATCCCTCTCCTCCTCAGCCATCTTAGGGCCACAAATTCATCATATTTGACCCAAATGTAGTAAATTTACTATTTGTTGGGGGTAAAAGTCATCCACGCCTACTAGGGAAGGACTGGTCTTTATCTCACACGGATGTAAGCTGAAGGTAACATTATACTGGGGTATACAAACAGTAACAAAGGGAAGGATCCAAACTGAAAACAATTAATTAGAGAAGAGGCTAATGACCTATGAGGCTATGATTTCAATGGGTGTTACTAGGGAGGGATCATTGGGGAAGCAGATAGCAGTGAAATCTAGTATTC